ATTTTCTAGAATTATTTATTGCTTGTCTGAAGCTCATTCTCCAGTCAATTTCTCAGGAACAGGTCATGAGAGTAACATTCCGTGAGCTCTTGCAGTTCACAATGCTGGACTTTTTCCTGTTAACTCATACAACCTTTGATTCCCATCTTCTTTTCATGAAATCATTTAAAATATTTCTCTTATTTTTATTTTGTTTTTGTTTTTGTTTTTCGAGACAGAGTCTTGCTCTGTCTCCCAGGCTGGAGTGCAGTGGCATGACCACCTCCTGGGTTCATGCCATTCTCCTGCCTCAGCCTCCCGAGTAGCTGGGACTACAGGTGCCCACCACCACACCCGGCTATTTTTTTTTTTTTTTTTTTTATTTTTAGTAGAGACAGGATTTCACCATGTTAGCCAGGATGGTCTCAATCTCCTGACCTCGTGATCCACCTGCCTCAGCCTCCCAAAGTGCTGGGATTCCAGGCATGAGCCACCACACCCAGCCCTTCTTTTATTTTTTTTAACAGAAAATGTTGTTGTTGATAATTCTGATTTTTGTGTGTGTTTGTTTTTGAGACAGAGTCTCACTGTGTCACCCAGGATGGAGGAGTGGCACAATCATAGCTCTCTACAGCCTCCAACTCCTGGGCTCAAGTGGTCCTCCCACTTCAGCCTCCCAAAGCACTGGGATTACAGCCATGACCTGAGAGGTCTAATTCAAATCTGATTTTCTATCTCTTAAAATGACTTGGTCTCTTTGTTTGAATTCCCAAATAGAAAAAAAAAAAAAAAATTTGTTTTTGTTTTTTCTAACTTTTAACATTCAGTTATTTTATTAGGATTTCCTTGGTGATAACTGTTATGTGTTGATTTTTCCAGTTAAAATAAATGTGTCAATCTTAAAACTTCTATTTCAGCAAACTGTTCCTGATTTATAATTTTAATTCTTGTTTTCCTTCCTTAGGGACTGTTTTGTTAGATCCTCCTTCTTTTCATTGTTTCTTTATATTTACTTGTCTTTTCTTCTTTCATTTTCTCTCAAATCATTTTTATCTTTTCCTTTATTTCTATTTGATTTTCTTCATTTTTGCTTTTTTATCTTTTGATTTTTCTCACTGTATTTTTCCATAGTATCTTTTCCCCATGTGTTGCAACTTATTAGTCTTTATTTATTAGTGTATTTTTAAAAATAACTTTCCTGAGTTATGTAAGTTCTCAATTCATAGCCATTGGCTATTTAACTATTTATTCTATTTCTGGTTTATACCATTCTTTCAAAGTGTCTATTGATTCTTTAATTTATTTTCTCTCACTTTGCTATTGTATGTGTGATATTATGATTTTATATACTTTATATATAAACAAACGTATATAGGTTTTCATCCACCATTCCTGGATCATGACTCCATAATTCTGGTTACAGTTTATTTATAATGTGGGGTGCTTCATGCCTCTGAAACAGGCCTCAAGAAACAGAGTCTCTCTCTTTGACCTCCTGTCCTCCTCTCACCTGCCCAAGGCAGGACTCTAACCTGATTATAGTTTAAAAGACTCTCATTCAGAGCGGGTCCTGCCCCACATCCTAGAGGAAGGAATGCTGCACAGACAGTCCAAAAAAAAAAAAAAATGAAAAGTCTGAGCAGACAGGCCTTCTGAGTTTAGATCATGTACTTTTTGCCCAATCACATGTCTGCATAGTTGTCCATCATGCTTATGTTATGAAGCCACCATAAAAACTCAAAAGGACAGGGCTGAGAGAGCTTCCAAATAGTTGACATGTGGAGGTTCCTGGAGGGTGCTATGTCAGGGGAAGACGTGGAAGCTCCGCGCCCCTTCCCCTGTGCCTTGACCTATGCGTCTCTTCATCTGTATTTCCTTCTCTATGAAACAGGAAAAACACCCTGTGTTTCCTTATCTATGAAACAGGGATCTTTAGTGATATACTTGTAATATACTTTATAATACACTGGTAAACTTAAGTGTTTCCCTGAACTGCTTCAGCAAATTAATCGAACCCAGAGGGGGTCGTGGGAACCCCAACTTGAAGCCGATAGGTCAGCAATTCAGATTTGCAGCAAGGAGTGTCCGCCATGAGGGTGTGTTGGTGGGGGCATTCTTGGGATCTGAGCCCTCAGCCTGTGGGATCTGATGCTATCTCCAGGTAGCTAGAGTGGGAATGGAACTAGAGGTGAATTTGAGGTGAATTAGAATTGAATTAGTTGGTGTCCACTGTTTGTTAGTGGGGAAACCGCCCCTCCCTGAATAATTTGGCCACAGAAGGCTTCTTCTTTGTTCATTGTTGTGGTGTGAAAGCAAAGGAAAAATTTGATTCGGGTGTTTTTCCGAAACAGAGTGTTACAGTTTTCATCTGCTTTGTGTCCACTTTTTCTGGTGTTATTTATTTCCTTATTACCTTTTTTTAAGTAATAACTTTGAATTACTTTGACTATTTTTTTCTGTGTGTCTCCTGTTTAAATGAAACGGCTTTTCCTAGACTATTAAGGGACAGTTCCTGGTCAGTGGGGACCAGGGGATAAAGTAGGGTCACTCTCTCAGCTTCATCTTTCCTGTTATTAAGAAGGACTCAAAATACGTCATCCCATCCATCTCTCAGGTCTACGCCTAGCTGACGTCAGTCCTGTTTCCCAGAGCTCTCCCCTTTAGACAAGTTATTTTGTTGTTACATGACTTCCTGGGATCTGATTCCTTCGGGCTCACAACCTCCTCCCCACACCACTTACCAGAGTGTCTGCTTTTGGCAGTTTTCCCCTCTGGAAAGGGATATTAGTTGGATATTTTGGCGGTCGTCAAGGGTTTGCTCTACTGCCTCACTGTTGGGTCTCTTGTGATGCCATGTGCAGGCTCCTGCTTTCACTTGCAACTCTGAGCATATCAGAATAGTAGCTTCACAGTTACTCTCAGGCTTGTCCACACAGATTTTTATTCCAGATTAGGCTTTCTTTTGAGGGTGAGTCTTCATGGGCGATCTTGGGTTCTATAGTTTATAGGGCTTGTCAAAGGTTTGCATTGAGCCCACCACTCTCTTTTCCTGTTTCCCGCAACCTCACACCATCTGAACCCCAGTGTTTCTACCCTGCTCAATTGCTTTCACCACTCCACAGTGGACTGCCTTTAGGTGCCACTGCTATATGTGGTTTTGACCACAGCAGTACTCTAGGATTTAGAGGTGTTTCCTATCACCTAAAATTAAAAAATATATGATCTATGCATATTTTTACACTATTTCTAATTTTCTGTTTGGTTTTCTGGAGGAGTTTTGAAAAGATTGAGAAACTACACTGCCACCATAATCTCATTAGGACCAGAACTCAGGATGAAGCTTCCACATATTCTTTATAAAATCTTATAATTTTAGAACTTGAGCTCTCTAAAAACCTTAAAGGTCACAGAGTCCAATACCCTCCTGTAATAGGAAAGATAATTGAGGTCCAGAGAGTGAAAAAGGCTTTCTCAAAGCCAGTGGAGAAAGTAGTAGAGCCAAGTATAAAATATAGCTTTCCCAGAATCTTGGTGTTAGAAGGAACCCTGGGGCATGTGGTCCATCTTCTTACCCAGTGCATAATTCCCCAGGAAGAGAGGTAGCCAATATCCCCTTGAATATCTTAAAGGATGAGGTGTCTAAATCAACCAGTTCCCCATGTGGTAAAGACAAACTTATCTTTTCATTTCTTTGCCTTTTTCAAAAGAACAAACTGAGACACACAAGGATGAATTGATGCAGGTGTTATTGCGTTTGTTCCCTGTTTCCTCTCAGTTTAGAAGCTGACTTAGAAGCACCTCTAGGTTGATTCACAGCCTGAGTTGGAAACAATCTTCAAGTTCATCTAGTCTAGTGGATTCATTAGTCTATGCTTAAACATGCCTGGCAGCTCACTCTATCATCAATTGTTCCGGAGTTCTTCCTAAAGTGAGATGATGCACATGAACGTATTTGTGGATTATACAACATTATATAAATCTAAGATTGTCAGATTTCTTATATTGAATGGAATTTTCTCCCCTTTAACTTCTAAGCATTGTTCTTGGTTCTGCCCTCTGAAGCTATGCAGAATAAGTCTCATCACTCTTGTACTTTGCAATGCTTGAAACACTGGAAGACAGCTAATGGGCTCCTTCCTCGTGGCTAAGGCTTACCTTTTTCCATGGTTATAAACACAGCCAGCACTTTTATTCCTCTTGTGGCATTGTCATCAGTACTCCCAGCAATCTGCTTTATCTCCTTTAGCACACGAGAGCTTATTAATGTTTCTCTTAAAATGCCAAAAATAAACAGAGTGGGACTCAACTTTCTTTGTCTCAGCATCACACTTACATCAGCAGTGTAAGATTATGAGTCATTCCAGTGCTTCTTATTATGCCTGATTTATTTTCAGCTTGCAGTCAACTAAAAACACCTAATATTTTCTAGCAAACTTCTACTAAAGCAGTTCTCCCACTTATTGGGCGTGGGCAGTTGATATTTTTGGTCCTAGATGTAGGAAAATAGCTTTGTAAGCAGCAACACAAGTCCTTTCAGAACTCCAGTGACTGACTGAATCTGGGGACCCTGACTCTTTTGGGCATCAAAAGAGTTCTCTCTGATATGCCCCATCCCTTTCTTGGGATTTAATTCTTCCTTGGCTATATTTGCTATATTCCTCTTCATTTGAATATCATACTCCTAGATATAGAAGTCCAGAGAAAAGTAGTGGGTGAACAATCCCCTTCTCACTCTTGGTAATAATTTCTAACACTTTCTACCACTCCGCTGGCACTACTGCTGTTTTCTTTTTACCACTATCTGTATCAGTATATCATTGAGTACCCAAGCAGGGGTGCCTGCTGGTCTCGTTCTCCTGTTTACTTTTTTTTTCTTATTAATACAATATTTATTTATCTTTTCTCTGTCAAACCCTGAGCCAACCATGTTCCCCAGGCTGCCTGAGGAGGTATAGGAAAAGGAACACACAGGGCCTACCAGGCATGGGAGAAAGAACTATGGGAGGTGGAGACCAGCTCCTTCACATAGGGAAGAGGACGAGAAAGGCCACCATCAGGCAAAAGAGCCCCAAGGCCTCCCAGAGGGCAAAGCCCAGAATGGCATAGAAGAAGAGCTGTTGCTTCAGAGAAGGGTTCCTGGCATAACCAATGAGGAGGCTCCCACACACAGTCCCAATTCCAGCCCCAGTGCCAGCCACCCCAACTATGGTAGCCCCAGCCCCAATGAACTTGGCTGCTCTGTTGATGTCCCTTGAAATGGCGCTGGTTTGGAAGCTGTGGCTAGAGACAAGTGAGGTAAGGGGATGTGAGACTGCCAAGCTGCTGAGACTCTCATCTGTCATTGTCTCTGGTCATTTCAACACCACTGCAGATAGTGGATGGCCCAGCAGCAGTGAAGTGCTCTTGACCAAGGAGATAGTGGAAATGAACTTGGAGCAGGCATACATTTTCAGGGGGTGAGGGGCTGTGGCAGGAGAGCTGCTCCCAGTGCAGAGAAGACAGAGAGGACTCTCCTGTTTAAACATACAGTGGAGGGTCAGGGAGAGGGAATGATTAAGAAGACATGAAATTGGATGGTACATACTGACCCTCTTTAAGAGAAAGATATCTGCTATCAGTACATCTTGACATACATTCCCCACCCACTCAGGACAACACCTTTATATCTTCTAACCCCTGTATTTCTTTATCTATGAAACAGGGATCTTCAGTGAAAACCTACATTTCCTTTGTGGGATAACCTACATTTCCTTAGGACATTCCTAATATAAATTATTCTTTCTCACTCCCCTATTTACTATGTAGACCTTATCTATTGAGGCTGTATGCTAAAGAAGACCCTTATGGTGCTAAGGAGTACCCTCTGGGACCACTAAGTCAAAAGCCTTCATCCTAGTATGAGTTGTCAAGTGCTAGCTAGCCAGTTTCTATAAAGGACCCACCTAAACCACTAATGAGAGCCTCAAAACTAAACATATTGCAAAACAAACACGTGGAGAGAAAAGGTTAAGTTAATTTTTAAGTACTTTCCTATCATTTTTCCTGATAATGCCCAAATACTGGTCATGGGATGTGTTTTTATGTTGATAGGGGAGAGTGGAGGCTGTGAAAAGGAAATAGGACTAAAAGATGAGAACAAGGGTGAAGCATAAACTGGTCTATGAGCTGGGATTCAGACGGCATATTTCCGACTTCCGGAAGTGTGGTGAACATCATGAGGTCAATGAACATTACCTAGAGAGAGATGTATTTTCATATATATTTGCTACTGAATGAATATAAATGACTGTATACATATTCTTCGGTATACTGTTGTACATCCACCTACTCATATACCAGTCTGAAAGATAGAATATTCCCATCACCCATCATGGAACTTCTCTGTGTGCTCATCACCACTCTCATCTACTTCCCTATTCTCTTAGAACCTCTTTTTTCTGTTTATCAGTCTTCTGTTTTTCTTTATTGTCTTATGACATACATTCTTATTTCTAAACAATATATTATTTAGTCTTGCATGTTTTTAACTTTATGTAAGCGGAATTACACTGTGTATTTCTTTGCCTTGCTTTTTTGTTTGTTTGTTCAATTTCATATTCCTGAGATTTGTCTGTGTATTGCTATAGTTCATTTGTTTCTACTGGTATATAATATCCCATTTATTCAGCAATATATTATCCATTCTATTGTTGATGGACATTTGGATTGTTTCTAGTATTTTTTTAACCACAGAGAGTATTAGGACCTATGCATGTCTCCTGGTGGTATAGACCAGAGTTTCTCTAGGTGTATATCAAGGAATAGAGTTGCTAGGTCAAAAGCTTTATGTATTCTTAAGTGAACTGGATAATTGTAAGTTAAAAGAATTGGCACCAATTTTCATTTTTACATACTGTGTATAAGAGTTCTGATTGAAGTCACTTCCTTGCCAAACTTGAAGTAGTCAAACTTTAAAATTTTTGCCAAACTATTGAATATGAAATATTACCTTATGGTTTCAATTAGCATTTACCCACTAATGAGGTTGAATATTTTGTTTTATGATTTTCTTCATTTCTTGTTCTTTATCTTTATCTTCTTGTAGTTTATTCATTTGTATGGATGTTTGGGTAGTTCTTGATACATCTTTTAATAGATTCTGTATACTAATTATTTGACAATTATATGTGTAACAGAATCTTCACTCAATTTGTATCTTGAATCTTTAACAATTTTTTATTTCCCTTTGAAAAATCAAACTTCTTAATTTTAATCTGGTTTTACTGGGTGGTTTTTCTATGCATGAGATAATATATCTCCCCAGTCTGTCTCTTGCCTTTTTATTTATGTAACAGTTAATTCGATGAGCAAATGTTTTTAATTTTGATATCTCATTTATTAGTTACCTCCTTTTGTAATTGTTGTTTTCAATATTTAAGAATTTTTTTCTTTTTTTTTTGAGATGCAATCTAGCTCTGTTGCCCAGGCTGGAGTGCAGTGGCACGATCTCGGCTCACTGCAACCTCCGCCTCCCGGGTTAATGCCATTCTCATGCCTCAGCCTCCTGAGTAGCTGGGATTACAGGTGTGCACAACCACACCCAGCTGATTTTTGTATTTTTAGTAGAGACAGGGTTTCACTGTGTGGCCAGGCTGGTCTCAAACTCCCGACCTCGTGATCTGCCTGCCTCAGCCTCCCAAAGTGCTGGGATTACAAGCATGAGCCGCCGTGCCTGACTAGAAATTTTTTAACTTCAGAAAATATCTTCCTATGTTTTTCAAAAATCTTTACATTTTAGCATTTAATTTTACATTTACTTGTTATTTGTTTTGTATGGTGAGGTAAGGGTTTGGAGTTCATTTTTCCCCACGTAGATATTCAGTTGACTGAGCACAATAGTTGAAAATACTTTTTTTTTTTTTTGTAAGATGGAGTCTCACTTTGCCACCCAGGCTGGAGTGTAGTGGCATGATCTAGGCTCACTGCAACCTCTGCCTCCTGGGTTCAAGCAATTCTTCTGCCTCAGCCTCCTGGGTAGCTGGGATTACAGGCATGTGGAGGCATGCACCACCATGCCCAGCTAATTTTTGTATTTGTAGTAGAAATGGGGTTTCACCATGTTGGCCAGGCTGGTCTCAAACTCCTGACCTCAAGTGATCCACCCGCCTTGACCTCCCAAAGTGCTGGGATTATAGGCATGAGCCACCACTCTGGTCCAAAAAACTTTTTTCTATTGAATTACTTCAGTGTCTTTAGGAAAAATCAGTTGACTGTATCATTGTGGGTTTATTTTGAATTATCTATTCTGTTTCGGTAGTTTTCAACCAATATGTCTTCAAACATTTTTTTTTCTGCCCCATTCTCTGTCTGTTCTTCTGGGTCTCCAGTTACACATATATTAGACTGCTTAATATTGTTACATGGGTTTCTAAAGCTTTGTTTCTTTTTGTTTAATATTTTCCTCTCCATTTCTCAGCTTGTGTAATTTCTAATGTTCTAGTTTTATGTTTATTGACTTTCCTCTACCACCTTCAATCTGCTATTAAACCCATTTAATGAATTTTTCATTTTACTTATAGTATTTTTCTGCTTTAAAATTTTCATTTTGTTCTCTTTTATAGGTTTTATTTCTCTAACTCTATTCCCATCTGCTCATTATGAAAATATCTTCTAAGTTCTTAAACATATTCAAAATAGCTGCTTTAAAGTCTCTGTCTTCTAATTGCAACATCTGCATCATCTTGGAGTTAGGGTCTTTTGAGTTATTTTAATCTTGGTTATTTGTCACATTTTTCTATTTCTTGCACATGTGTATTGATAATTGACTGATACTGGACATTATAAAAATTGTATAGAGTCTGAATTTTGTTATTTTTCCCTGAAGAATTATTTTTGTTAAATATGCTGAACTTGAAATTCCAAATTTTGTCTCTCCTGCAGGTGACAGAAGCTTAAATCTCTCCTTAATTCTTCCAGCTTCCACTGTTTTCTTCAATGTATGCGTGTTGTTTTCTGTTTTCCTATTTGTCACGCTTCCTTCTGGGGTTTTCCCTATGCAAAGAGAAATGGTTAATGATCAGCCAAAAAGTTAGGTGGATTTTATGTGCAGATTTTAGGGTTCATTCCTCTGTGGATCTCTATCTTCTAGGATTTCTCACCTAACTTTCTTTTTTCTTCTTCTTCTTTTTTTTTTGAGATGGAGTCTCACTTTGTCACCCAGGCTGGAGTGCAGTGGCATGATCTCGGCTCACTGCAAGCTCCGCCTCCCAGGTTCACACCATTTTCCTGCCTCAGCCTCCCAAGTAGCTGGGACTACAGGCACCCATCATCACACCTGGCTAATTTTTTATATTTTTAGTAGAGATGGGGTTTCACCATATTAGCAGGATGGTCTCTATCTCCTGACCTCATGATCCACCTGCCTCGGCCTCCCAAAGTGCTGGGATTACAGGCATGAGCCACTGCACCTGACCCCCTTTCTACCTTTTTTACTAGTCTCAATTTCTGTTCCTTAACACATTAAGCCAATAAGACTATGGGTTTTTGTGCATTTGGATTTGTTGCATTGGAGAGTGCCACAAACTGAAATACATCCTTCACAGTTAATTTTTATACCATTGATTCTTCATTAGTTTCTTTCTGTGTTTGTTAATACTGTTTCTCCAAAAACTTAGATAATTCTAAAAATATTTTCCCAAATTTTAAATTGTTATCTAATGAAAGATTAATGCAGCCAAGCTATTCTACTGTTACTAGAAGCCAGAACAATTGATGTATTTTTAAAATTACATTTTCTCAGTGCTTTTTATTGCTGGGTATGCAAATGCAATCAATGTTTGTATGTTGATTTTATATCCAATATCCTTGCTTAACTCTCTTCTTTATTTAAACACATTAGATCATTGCAGGTTTTCTACATATACAATAATATAATTGTGAAAAATCACACTTTTGTTTCCTCTTTTCAAATTCTTCTATTTTTTATTATGTTTTCTTGCCTTTTTGTACTGGCTAGGACTTTCAGTGCAATGTTGAATACAAGTGGTAAAAATAAACACTCTTGACGTGTCATTTTTTTTTTTTTTGCCATTAATTAACAGTTAACTACAGGTTTCTTGTGACTTTCACTTAATTGTTAAATAAATTGTTCTTTTTCTAATTTTCTGGTTTTTAAAAAATCATATAAATATATAGAAATCATAAAACACTCATCTACATCATTCAAATAACTATATGATTTTAATTTTTTCTTAATGTATGAATGCATTGAATTATATTAATTAATAGTCTAATTTTTTTTTTTTTTTTTTTTTTTTTTTGAGACAGAGTCTCATTCTGTTGCCCAGGCTGGAGTGCAGTGGTGTGGTCTGCTCACTGCAACCTCCACCTCCCAGGTTCAAGTGGTTCTCCTGCCTCAGCCTCCGGAATAGCTGGGATTACAGGCACCTGCCCCCATGCCCAGCTAATTTTTTGTATTTTTAGTAGAGATGGGGTTTCACCATGTTGGCCAGGCTG